TTATATAAGTATACGTATACAGTATCGGACAAAACATTTGCAACTGAAATATGATAATGAATTTTATTTTTTAATTTTATTTTAAATATTGGATGTTAATTAAGATAAAAAAAGCAAACTTAATAATATTTTTCAGTTTATTTGTTTAATATATACAAAAAATCGACATAACATCTATATTCAATAAGACAAAACCATTGCAATTCAAAGAAAACTGTTCACTATTTTTAATAAAAGAAAAACTTAGTATTTTGTAGAAAACTCATTATTTTCAATAACTGCTTTGCATCGCAGCGGCATTGAAGCTATGAGGTTATCCACTATGCTTTGGAGTATATTTCTCCATGCCTCCAGGGCCTTTTGAAAAAACTGATCAGTAGGCCTGTAGAGACCACTCCATTACATCCACTTTATTCCTCTGTAACCACGATTTTAAGAAATATGCCATATGCTTCCGGTCGTTGTCCTGGTGGAAGACCTACTTAAGTGGCATTTCCCATTCAGCATGTGGCAAGATTACGGATGCCATAATGTCTCTGGAAATGTACCGATCCATGCTACCATTAATACGATGAAGCGGCTTATTGACCATTCTAGATGATTTTTAGTGAACACAATCGTTTTAGTTGGTTGCGTTTGCTAATAAGCGGTTTCCTCGCTGGTCGGCAACTGTGTAAATCAGCGTTATTTAGGCGGTGAGCGACCGTTCTTGAGTAGATTGGTAACCCAAGCTCCTTTACCAATTGCGGAGCGCTTTAAAATGGATATTCTTTTTACCTCTCTTATAATTGAACTGTCAGTTTTTTCATCAGTTTTTCTTGGTAGGCGTACACGATGCACTACTTCGACAGTTTGGTTCCTGATAAAAGTCGGAATTATTCGTGAAATTGTTTACTTGCAAATTCTGTACATTATAGAAATTTCGTTTTGAGAAGTTCCGTTATTATAATCATCGGAGTGCTTCACCGAATTTATTTAGAGTCATTACTTTTTTTGTAAAAAAGTTTTAAATAAAAGTGTATTTTCGCAAAAATTCTGAACAGAAATTATGCTCAGTAAATATTCTAATTAATTCAAACTCAATACCGTTAGAAAACGAAACGAACAAAACAGAGTTGCAATTGTTTTGTCGCGGCGCATCGGCATACATTTGAAATTGTTTTCAAATATAACCGGCAAAATAAAAAAAGGTCGCGATAAAAATTGCAAAATATGTAACTTCAATGCTGTAAATTTGAAAACAAAAAGCAATTCGAAGGAAAATGGCATTGTAAGACAAAAAAAATCTAGAACTTCGCTCGAGTTGCAAATCTTTGGTCCGATACTGTATGTATGTATAAATACACAAGTRTTCAATTATTTATTTATTAAGTCAAGCAACACTGAAAAAAAGTCTGAAATTATTTATATATTTTTTCTATGAAGGAAAATGTTTCAAAAGTCCAAAAAGTTCAAATTTGCACACAATATAATATTGACAATATAAGTGGAGAATTGCATTTTGTTAAAAGCTACATTATTTTACGTTACGTTGTTGTCTCTCAACGTTAATAAATGATTATCATAGCTCTTTAGAAAAATGAAACTATTATAGCTATTTTATATATCCCGATGGGATTCAGTGGAACTACTATTAGCTATTTTAGTTTCTCTAAAATGATATTTACTACATATGAATAACCTATTGAGATTCAAATGTAAAATCTTAATGTTAATATCACACTCAAAAGCATTATGTCACACGTACTGGTTTTACTTCAAATAAATCATTTATTTGTGGGTTAATATTTCCTACTCATGTTGACAATATGTTTATTTGTTAAAAAGATAACAGTAAGTATGATATTTTTCGGAACTATTTATAAAGGGTGATCCAATGCGAGGTTCCCTACTTTTTTAAAGAAAAAAAAACACAGAATCTTCAAATTTAATGGGGATTTTTAATGTATAATTAGCTGGCATACCAAACTGACCGATTGAATCATTACAAAGCTCTTTTGAAGGTTGTTTATATTAAATTTCGTGGGTAGATAGGACTAGCAAGCCGTTGGCCGGTGCAGCCTTAGTTATACTGATAGTTTCTATACGAAATGCATGTGTGAAGGACATATAGCTTCGTAGCTTCTAAGCTTAATGTTTTTTCTTGTTTTTGTCTTAAAGAACACTTAAGGTTTTGTCAAATATTCATTAGTGTGCTAAGTGAGTTTTTCGTGTTTTGCGTTGTCGAAATTTGTTGAGCAAAGAATTTGCATTAAATGATCATTTCGAAAAAAACTCAACCCATATTGTTCCGCAACCACCGTATTCACCTGATCTGGCGCCGTGCGACTTCTGGCTGTTCACCAAGCTCAAAAGACCGCTCCAGGGACACCGATATTCAAGCCGCAGCGAAGACGGAACTGAAGACCAGCCCGGAAAGTGACTACAACCAGTGTTTCGAAGATTGGCATAATGTACTACATCTAATGAGGATTACTTTGAAGGGGATGAAATTGATTTGGAAGAATAAATGAAGAATTTTCAAAATAAATACAATGTCACCTTATTTTTTGGGAACGATATTTTTAAATTGGTTAAGTAGCGGAAAAAACTCTCCCATCAGTTGTTGTGTCGAAACGCATTTCTCGAACCTGCATTTTCGACGCATACTACTCGGAAACTATCACAAGTATCCCTTTTAAATTCTGATTGTAGCTTCTCAGTAACATTTTTTATAAACTCCACTACTTGTTAATAAAGCTCCGAAGAGAGATTTCAGATATCGTCATAGTTGGTTAGAATGTCAGCTGATCATTAATTGCTCATGTTTTGCCTAATTTGCACATATCATAATAATTTCCATCACAAAAAACTTACGTACATACAGTGCGCGCATTTCGTTTAGCCGAATGGCTAGTTTTTGGTATTATTTAACATTATTCTGAAAATTGCTACGGTACTTTATGCTTTCTGCGAATATTTTGCATTTTGCTTTCGTAACCATTTATTTTTTCAATGTTATTAGTCTACATAAATCATTCTTGAAAAAATTTGAGTGGAAGAGGTAATCAGTGTCAATTTCAGTGCGCATTTCGTTTAGCCGAAAAGGTGGTAAAAGTCATTTTACAAAGAAATAAAGAGGTAATTTGTATTTTTTTAGAAAAAATATTACTACAGCTGTCTCTTATACACATCTAGATGTGTATAAGAGACAGATATATATTGAATTAATTGTAAAAGGTTTATTTTCTTGTTTGTACTTTAAGTGGTAGAAATTAAAAAAAAATACATTCGGCTAAACGAAATGCGCGCACTGTATGTATGTATATAAAAGAGCATACATATGTATGTTTAGAAAGATGCTTGCGTACATAATGTGATTTGCAAAAGTCGACTATGGTTTTGCAAACAAAAACTTAAATGTCATGCTTGTTAGGTCGACTGGACGGCGTGCGAAAAACGACAATGCCTGAAAAGCTATAATTAGACGAAAGTACGTTGAAGCGGAATGGCTAAAACTTAACATACAAACTAACGTACATAATATAGACATAACTGACTGAGGCATTGTAGTGTGGCAGATGAAACAAATAGAATTTATTTGAGAATTGTTTAGAACAAACTATATGAGCATAAGGCATCTGAGAGGCGAGCAACATTTAATGAATGAATTAAGAAATGAGAGTCAGCTCTCTAAAGAGCTTAACAGGACGATTGTAAATTGCTATATCTAGAGTGCTTTATTTCTGGCAATATGTTCGCAGCTAACTCGTTAGATTTGAAATGCAGCAACGAACAAGTTCAAAGCGATGGAAGGTTCGATGGCAGTGATGCCAGATTATATTTGAATTCCAATCATCGGTAAAGTCATGATTAATAAACGATATTATTCAATATAATGACGAATATTTTTCGAAAATGTATGGTTTTTATAACGAAGCTGAATGTTCGTAAAATTTTACATATTTCTTTTTTCGAATAAAAAAGTTAAGAAATTCTCAACTCAACAATTGATGTCAAGATTTTGAAACTTTTCATTAAAATTGAACTTATGGTAAGAATTCAACAAGACAACCTATATTGAATACGAGCAACTCGGTGTTCCTCGCCTTTCTTCGTCGTCTACTCGCCAATAAAGTACAAGTTGTTGCAACAAAAATTGTCTGAATGCGCTCTAAAGGTACATTAAAAAAAAACTTTTGTAAATAATTAATTTATGAAAGTTTGACTTTGTGGGTACACGAATTTTGGAAACATCGTAGACCCTCTTCAATGTACATATAAAAATGACGAGCTGAGTCGATTTAGCCATGCCCGGCCGGCAGTCCACTGGTAATTACGCTCAGTTTTGGAGACATAAAATTTTGCACACGTCTTTTCTCTCTCTCAAAATCAAGTACTCGGAAGCTCCTTTTATTGTGAAGGGTATTACAAGTATAACATCGGTGCAATTGCAGCTTGCATTTCTCTTGAATTTATAATATACATGTGTATGTATTGAGTTCAGTTAATTTACCTTCTACTCAGTGCTCAGCAAATATAAGTTCATAATTAAGTGTTATGAACTTTTTATTTATTAAAAAGTGTTTTAATTTGAAAGTTAAAGGATATTCATGTCATTACAAAGAATTTAATATATTCTAGACAGTTTCAGAATTATTTTTAATACTGCATGCATAAATACAATTTTATTATACAATTATTTGTCGTGAATAAAAGATAAGAGCAGAATGCGAGTGAGAAAGTGCATAGCGAAATCTATTTTTAGCATTTTCGCTTATCTTAAACCCTCATTCCTGCAATTGTATTTTACTGGTTTTCACTTTTTATCGCTGTACTTACATATATTCGTACAAAAATGGTACAGTAAACAAAATAAATGTTCCTCGCTGCCGTTTTCGTAAATACAAAGTGCCAATTAATTCAATTACATACAAACAGGGCAAATAAAAAATGATCTCATCCCATCAGTGAGACTTTCGGTGTTGTGAACCTGAATAATTCGATTGAGAATACTTTTGCGTCTCAGTATTTCAATACGTGTGAGAATTGAATTATATGTCAATTAGAATATTTTCGCAAATAGACCGAACTTGATGTTTGAAAGGTGGTAAGTTTGCTACAAAATATTGAAGGTTGACATAATAGTATATACTATATAATAATAGGTGGAATTTGAGAATGCATGTTGCGCAGCCTAAAACAAATGATGGAAACAAATATTGGAAATGCTGGCGCTCAAATCTCGTTTGAAAATTATGTAATCACTTTTTTAAGAACAATTTCACTTAAAACATATTTTTTGTACGATCAGTTTCAGAGTTGAGGAAATTACTTGATTTGCTGTTGCCCATTATAAAAATGACGTTATTATTTGCGGGATTGTCGCACGCTTATGTTAAGTATTATAGATAATTAATTTTCTACCATACAGAGCACGGCAACAAACGATTCCATAAACTTTGTTTGTCAAATTGTATTGAATAGGCCCCAACACCTTCTACAGTTATGGCCGATCCAATTCTGAATTGTGAAGCTTATCTGCTAACTCAGTCATGGCATTTTTTACTCAAATTAAATTTTCATGTAATTTTGCTGTTGTAGAAATTGTGCAAATGCGTGCATAATAATTGCCAACTTAATAATTATGATATTTGAATTTATAACACCGATTATTTTGATTTACATAATTTTCATAAATATGCACAAATGCCCAGACAATATCTATTTAGTTTGGAAAAAGCTCGAAATGTAAAATAAGCTCTACTTGAAACGAACTAAATTTATTTTAAAATGAAAAAAGTCAGCATGAAATAAACATTGCATCAGCTGATTAAATCGTCAGCTGTTAGCATTTCTACATTTACACGGGAAATTAACCGTACCAAATGGGTTGAAAAATCGTTGGTTTTTGGTGAAATCGGTCAATTTCTATCATAGCCTCAGGATATTAGCTATAGCTATAAAACTGTAAAGGTTTCATGACTTTCATCTAATTTTCAATTATTGGTGAAGTGAATTTCGTGCAAAGATAAAACTATATTTCCTTAGTGGGAAAAATAGCGTTGATGCAATGGACGAGTTATAATAAAATAACCTATAAATATTACTTTGTGTAATTGCATCTATTAGACGTCGAGTTTAAAGTTCGCCCAAATGTTTCAAAGCCGACTAACTTAAGTAAAGAAATCAGTATGCATATATGTAGTTCATGTTTTTCGTATCTGAAAAACACCAGACTTTTGAAATTGATTATATATTATTACATTTATTTTACAGTCTTTGTCAGAACTAACTTTATATTCACAGAACTTTTAGAATTAATAACGGCTAAAAATTTTATTTTTATAAAATTCATGGCAACTAATATTTTCCGTTAATATATTTTTTGTACTTGGTACATTTGTGGCATGTTGCGTGGGTAGCAAAAAGAAACTGTTACAATGAAGACAGATTGTTGAAGAACAAATCATTCGAGCATAAATAAAAGCACTTGTTTGCTCAATGGGTGAGCAAGTCAAATTATGCGATGCCCATAAATGGGTTTTGAAGTACATACATATGTAAATAAGAGTCTACATAACTGTCTACTCGTTTCAAGAAAAACTTTCAATAAAATATCATTTGACAGACAGATAGAAGTGTTCGGGTGGAAAGCTTGGTGGGAGTAGGTGTATGCAGATTACTAGCCTGTGGTTAAATAGTTAAATACACAGTATTTGATATAAAGTAGAAAATGAGTTCATCTGAGTGGACGCGATGGGCAAAAGATCACAGTTTAGTAGTAAGGCTTTGGCTGTTAACATATGTACTTTTTAAGATGAAAACTAACTTATTGGTTTTAAGGGTGTCGAGTGCATTTTGCCATTTACACCACACGCGAATTTACGCTCGTCTCGGCGTTGAGCGTCCACTCCGTGAGCACCCTAAGAACAATAGCTAAGAATAAAAAATAACAACTATCGCCTTTAATTTACGCCAAATTATTTAATTATTTCTGAATGCAATACTATTAAGAGCAATCCATCGCGAGTTCCATATAGATAATTTTCGCTAAAAAAAAAACTACGGAGCTTCATGGCTCAGGTATGTACCTGTTGTGCATTTACAACGACATTGTAGAATGCAACCAACGTCACCAGCCACGAATTGGATAGAGGTAAAAAATGAGACAATTGAGCGGGTAAAAAAGCATGCTGGAAAGCCAGTCGTCGACAAAGTATAATTGTAAAATTAAATAAATAAATGTGCATGTTTGAGTGCAGGGTGACACAATGATATTTGCCTTATAAAATTAGTGGACATACAGACAGTGTACATGAATAAGCGCATATATACCATAGTATATAAAAGTACAGTGATTCTGTTTCACAATATACGCCGTTAGTTTGCGGGTTATGTGTGGCAGTCAGCTCTCTTCTATTTACCAGCAAATTGATGATAAATAACTTTTTTATCTACACATATATATGTATATATGTTTGAACACATGTACGAGTATTTTTCACGGTGAATATTTCATATTGAAAATATTGAATAAAAAAATTGCTCACCCTGTTATGAAAAGCCCTCAAGACTTTAATTCGTAATATTTTTGCAAATTCCTAGCTACATACATACATCTTTATATGTATATGTGTGTAAAACGATAGTTTACTGTACACAAAGTCAACAGACATTGACTAGCTCTAAAGAACGTTCTTCTTGTTATTCTTGCAGTGGTGAGGTATATATTTAGAACTTAATAAAAGATTCATGCAATCCTGTGGGCAGGATAGCAAAGCCTTTTAATAAAGGTGGCGCCAACGGAAGCGATTTACATGCAAAATAACAAATAGGTTTACGGCAAAGACAAGCCTGCGGATTCGCGGCTGCAACTGTGGTTCATTGAACTCAATACATGCACGTAAATATTCTTGGTGCATGTGATATAAATTTTAGGTTTATAAAAGCTTTCAACTCATTCAAATATATAAAAATGAAAATGAAAAACTAGTTTTAGTACTTTAATTTAGTATTAGCCTAATCCATGTCACCTTGACTCAGCCGGGCAAAATAAAAGGAAAGTGCCACATTGCAACGATATCCATCGAATGACCCAGGCAATTCAAAACGATTGTGTTCTTTAAAGTGCCAATTGAAAACAATGAGCTTGCAAAAAGTCTCGTTGTCCTGCAAAGAAAAAAAAACCGAAAAAGGCACCGAACTACAAGCGCCCAACAAGCACTCAACCAATTGATTTCCAAAAGTGCTGGGTTATTAAAAAAAAATAATAATAAAAAGCCGAAGAATGGAGGAAAAAATAAGTCCTCCATACGTTGCAAGTTGAAAGAACTCAATCCATGTATGTGTACATGTATTAGTAAGTCGAGTAAATGCTTTCTTTAGATCGCTAGGCACTATGTGCTTACATAACCCCACTATTTTTTGTTTGAATAAGCTACATAAGGAAATATGCAAAATGGTTTGCAAAATCCGTTGTGAGTATTATATACATATGTATCTACTTTTAGGCGCTTAACAGTAAACTGCGTTATGAGAACTGTTCGATGTATAGGGCTAAGTGTGGTGCGCCGAAGGATCAGAATGATAAGTAAGATAGTAAAGAAAACGAAATACAGTGGTAGAATAATTAGTTTGAATCGGAATACGGACTTTGTAGTTCGACAGACATATTTCCAGATAAAGTGTAATTATTGTATAGATAATATACATTAATATGTACATAAATGAAGCATGAATATACATGATGAAATATACATATTCTTCTTACACTAAGTGAGCATTACAAATGAGAACATAAATTCAGTAGATTATTATTCTCGAGTGCATATAAGTAGTGATCAGTCAAATATTGCTGTGAGAACGGACGAGAAGTGACACAAATTGAATTATCCACTTGAAAGACAGTAGGACCAGCATAGCTGTAACCCATTCGGATTTCACACTACTTGAAATTCATATTTTAAAAACGAAGCGAAGAAAGCAAAGAATATGTCACAAGGAACGCTTTGCTTTCCGTGATTCTTTCCAATAAAAATTTGGCTACTATTGTTTGACAAAGCATAGAAAGATGAGACTTGCTTTACTTTGTGTTGCTTCGCGTCGATGTGGACGAACTCATACTACGTCAAATCTCTAATGCAAAGCGAAGCAAAAGTTGTGAGTGAATCAGTCATAACTGGTCAAGGACTGTAAACTTGGCAGATTTCCTGAAATTTTTGGAAAACGCTTTCTATCCAAATGCAGTATACATCGTCGAGTCGAGGCGAGCAAGAAAGGTTTCAAGATAATAAATATACATATGTACACTTGTATATAGTACATATGCACTCCTTACAAGATTCACTCTCAATAAAGGAAAACCGAACTAATATACATACATACACAAGGTGTTTAAATTCGCACATACTATTTGCAATTTGAAAAATTTTCTCGATTTTTCATTTAGTCACCGACCGCATTTCCTTATGCCGCAAAATTACTTACCACGTGGATGTAAACGTTCCGGCTTGAACCAGGCATCTGAAATATACATATTGATTTTTTTACTTATACTGACTAAAGTTAGTAGAAATGTATGTGTGTATGTGTGTTGGAAACAATTAATTTAAGTATAAAGAAGGTGAGAAAAAAGAAATTCATATAAAGCAATAAAGTAATAAAGGAAAGTGATTATATATATGCACGTACATATGTATAGTATGAATTTTATATATATGTGAATAAAATAGCGATATCATATTTAGTAATAATTGCTACACATTTCACCAGTGAGATTTCATTTAATTTTCAACTCAACTATTTTCCATCTAGTCAGTAAATGTTTGTTTAAGCTGCTTAAATTTAAAATGTTTAAAGCTTTTGTTGTAACAAATACTATTATTTATAATATTTAACAAATATGGAATTGAAAATTAAATAGAAATTACGCTGGGTAGAACAAAGTTATAAACCTTTCACCAAGAAGATGAGGAAACATAAAATGAATAAATGAAAGAATGAAAGGTTTGACGAAAAAAGAAAAAACCGCTAGCATTACGAGACGAATGAGGTATTAGTATGTGTACTAATTGTTGTTACACCATACACCATACTATTTAATGTAGGTTAGGTACTGGGAAAGATGGGCTCATGGCTTATATACATTTATATATCCATGTATATGAATGTATGTTCGTATATACAAAGATTAGTAGAGTAGCTATGGAAGTGCAGCGCGTTGTGTGAAAGAGAACCGTTCGGCAAAGCATATAATGTACAGGTATTGTATATGTTTAATGTAATGTTGGTATGTATGTGTGTAGTAAGTAGTTCTGAATGCACTTACGGGGATCTAAAAGTGAACAAATCAATGGATGTTGCTTGTAAATGCCATTCCGTGCAATTTCTCCATTCGAATCCATTTTTCAGCCGACGCGTTTATTCAAACTTCTACAGATTTAACTATTGAAATGTTTTTATTCTTTGTGTTTAAAATGTTAAAAAAGAATTTGTAGCACAATTAAAAAAACATGAACACGCTAAAACGTAGTACAAAAACCCATTTGTACAAGCACGAATAAAAAGTAAAATTTCCTCGACTGTCGACTGTCAATAATAGCAAAACAAAATTGTATTACGTCTGCGTTTTCGAATTTTTTCTACGTACTCAATTCTTTAATTTACATATATTTTAACTTTGTCAGATTTTGAAAAGGTAAATACTGA